CCTGGGATAAGGTGAGGGCTCTCTGGCCTTCCTGTTACATCATGTACTCTTTGACCATTGCTAAGATGTGGCTTGTAACACTTTATCTTTCACATTCATTTCTGGCCCTACTGCATCTGCTGTGGTTATCTGAGACCCAAGCCTGGACCCCAGATGACACTTGACATCACCTTAGTCCAACAAGCAAAGCCAATTATCCCCTTCTGTGCTCTTCCAAGAGGGCTGATGAATTCTTGCCAGCCTTTTCCATGATACAGGGAGGTGCTCACATTGATGCCCTGCCTCTGAAGTACCCCCTTCAGCTTTGGTTGGACCTGGATAACTTCCCAAAGGCCTGCAGTCTCCTAGGCTAACCTCTGATAGGCCTCTGTGGTTGCTGTCACTGTTTACATAATCCATCCTGAACAATGGATTCATTCTAAGGTACCAACCAGTTATTCCTGGCCCCTGATTCTTCCTTCCTACTCTCTGGATGCACCTTTGTCTCTTTCAGGCAGGAAGCTGCTCCTGGATCATTACTCAATAAACCCCCTTTTACAGTTCATGCTATAAACATTCTCCTATGAGCCCTCCATCATTGTCAGGATTTGGAGCTTAATAAAACTTTTTCTATGAAAAATTCCAGCTCATACTATAGCAGAACTTGCACTTAAGGCTCTTATTTCTGCTATTTTCAGCAATGTCGGATTCGATGTGGGAAATTTAGTAATAATTTCTTTCTTTCTGGCAGTTTCTGGCCACCCCTGGCGACAGTACCTATGGAAGATAGTTTTGGTTTTCTTGAGGATTTCTAGTAAGGGAAAATTTCCGTCTTGTCCTTCATATTTTGTTCTATGGCTTGTTTCCATAAAAGTCATCATAAATTAGACCACTTAATCATCTTGGGTTTTTTTTTTTTCTTTTTTTTTTAAACAGGCATTGCTTGCTACATTTATTACTTGTCAAGGTTGCTTAAGATAAGAACTGTATCCCTGTGAAAATGCACTTGGTAATTAAAGAGATTATTTTATTCAGGCAAACCATTCATTAATGAAGAGCAAAAACATCTGGGGTATAGAAAGGCGGGTAAACAAGAGGGCTGTGTAGAAGGATAGACAGGGAGACTCAGAGATTTGGAGAAGAGGGTGGAGAGCATTCTTACTGTGGAATATGTCAGGCAGGGTGGTTCTTGGTGGTTAGCTATTTCCCAGAATATCAGTAAAGGATTAAAATTTAACATCGTCAGTTCCCCTTTTTGTTCAAGAGGAATAATATTCTTTTTTGTTCAGTAATCCCATGATTATTCAGAAGGTTAAAAAAGAAGAAGAAGAAGAAGAAGCCAACAACAAGAACTACAACTTTTACTAAAGTAGACAAGGTAAACACAGGCTCTTTTTGAAAACCTTATAACTAAACCCTTCAACCCTTAGCTAACTTTGACCATAGTAAATAAATTTCTCTCTCTCTCTCTTTTTTTTTTTTTTTGGTGAACTTCCTACATCTCTTCAGGCTTTGTCTTTCACAGCAACAGTCAATTATTTCTCCTTAGGAGAAAACCATTCTCACACTAGTATTTTCAGCGGACAAGCGGAGCTCATGAATATACAACTCACAACTTGCTGCAGCCACACATTCCTTGTAGAAAAACTTTACAGAGTGGTAAAAGTCAGCTTGTTCATTAACAGGCCCAAGCATACAGTCTCCAAGTAACAGAAACTAAGAGGCAAAATATAGATAAACTTAAGACCTTAAGACTTTACTTTGTTTCAGTACTCTGTCTTACTTGGAAATGATTTGGGTATTCAATAAATATCTGTCAATTAACTAACTTTAATGTAAATCTGAGGTTTTAAGTTGCCTAAAGATCTTGGTAATTATCTTCAAGCTGACATACTATAAAACATAATTACTATTGATATAAAGTTTGTCATTATAATAATTTATTTAGTTAAACACAACTTTATATTTTTCATAGTTTTAAACATTAATCTTAAACATTAGTGATACAAGTTTAATAAATCAGTAAATCTGTATATGTTTGCACAGACCATTCCCAAGAAGAATAAAAATCTATGTATATATTATACTTAACCCTGATAAATCAGAGAAGACATAGTTGTTTTTATTAAAATCAAAAATATTAAACTAGTCTTGTTTGCCAAAGCTTTATCTAAATTATGTGAACTTGAATTCCTAAATCATATCCAAGTCACTTTCTGTAAAAATAAGTTTTAAATCAAGACATTGAAAGTAACATTCAATTTTCACTTTTTTTTTTTTTTTTTTTTTTTTCCTTTTTATGGAGAACAAATTCTCTCATATTGCTCAGGGAGGTCTTGAACTCCTGGGCCCAAGCTATCTTCCTGCCTCTGCCTCCCTAAGAGCTGGAATGATAGGTGTGAGCCACCATGCCTGGCTAGATTCAATTTTCTTGATTTATGGAAATATTGTAAATATTCAATTTATATAAGTGTTTACTAATCTCTAAAATAGTAAAAATAGAACACCATCAAGAGATTTTATAATCTAATGATTAATGCCATCCTAAGGTAGAGAAATATTACACATTCATACAATGAGAGGTAAAGACCTTTCTGAATTATAAATACATATGCATGCAGGCATAGAGAGAGCTTACAGCTTCAATTCTGCAATTTTAGCCATGGGTCAAGTATAAATACATAATTATAAAACTCACTGGTTCATATCAAAAAGCTGTTCTCTTCACAGCAGGTATGAATCCTTAATTTATTTGAGCTCAATATGGACAGGTAGACAAACAGAAAAGGCTAACACACCAGATTGTCAACACATCCAAGAGAGAGAGACTTCTTTAAAATCATTAATCTATTACAGAGATCACCAATGGTCAGACCACAAAACCAAAAGAAGCCACAATCAGGCCAGCGTAGTGGCTCACGTCTGTAATCCCAGCACTTTGGGAGGCTGAAATGGGCAGATTGCCTGAGGTCAAGAGTTTGAAACCAGCCTGGCCAACATAGTGAAACCCTCTCTGTACTGAAAATACAAAAATTAGCGGGGCATGGTGGCACGGGCTTGTAATCCCAGCTACTTGGGAGGCTGAGACAGGAGAATCGCTTGAACCCTAGAGGTGTAGGTTTCAGTGAGCCAAGATTGTACCATAGCACTCTAGCCTGGGTGACAAAAGCAAAACTCCATCTCAGAAAAAAAAAGAAAGGAAGGAAGGGAGGAAGGGAGGGAGGAAGGGAGGAAGGGAGGGAGGGAGGAAGGGAGGGAGGGAGGGAGGGAGGGAGGAAGGAAGGAAGGAAGGAAGGAAGGAAGGAAGGAAGGAAGGAAGGAAGGAAGGAAGGAAGGAAGGAAGGAAAAAAAAGCCACGATCGTAAATCAAGTGAGTTCTCACAAGGAATCAAAGTCAAGTCCCCACCATGCTGCCAATGGGCATGGGACCTCAGAGTGCATGAGTTGAGAGCCCAGCATGAAGAGTCAGAACCATCCCTGGTCCTCAGAGCACCCATCAGGAATGGAGCACAAAGGACTCCAATAGGCCTCCTTGCCTGGGTGATAGAGATGGAGATCTGAAAGCAAGATGTGATCCTATCCAAGTCATGGCACCAAAGCTGTGAAAGACAAATGCTATAAAAGGATAAAGATATGATTTTATTCAGGCTCTTGCAATTGAGAGAATATTCATGAATGTAGAACATCTCAAAGAAGAGGGAGAAAGCCTGGAGTTTTAAACAGGAAGTCATGGGAAAGGATGGACTGGAATTCCTATGGGATTTACAAGAGAAGGCATTCTTATCTTGCAATATGTGAGGGCAATGTGGCCCTCTGTGATGTGCCATTTCCCAGAACACAGAAACTGGGGATATTTCTTTACTGTTAAACTCTGAGGTTTAGACAAGTCTCAACATTCTCACCCCCTCACCTTCTAGTAGATCTCAGCTGGTGCAGGAGTTTAGAGTTTGCAGTAGGTAAAGAGGCAGAGCTGTGTAACTTGGAAAAGTTACTAAAATGATTTTGATTACACTGTCTTCCAAATCAAAATCACTTATCTATTTAATAAGTTCCTTAAAGTCAGCAATTATATAGTTATATCACTTTGTAACACTGAAGGAGTTACTTAATTTCTCTCAGCACTCTCCTACTCAGCAAAATTAGGAAGTTGCAGACACATACAAGAATGTTCATTGTATTTTTATTTATAAAACCAAAAGACTGAAAACAACCTAAATATACGCCAATGGGCGAATGAATGTATATAATAATTTATATTCACACAATGGGCTACTAGGGCAGTTTAAATAATTTGATGTACATACATTATCACAAACACATCTTAAATATAACATGTTAAGAAAGAAAATTAGAGAATGATGCCAACAGCGCATTATGTATGGGACTTTAAACTCACAATACAGAAAGAATACTATGTATACTGAATGCATATATACATGAAACTATTTTAAAAAATGGTTGAGAGTTGGGCTGGTCCAATCCCTGCCACTAGCCACATGTGGCTATTGAGTGGTTGGAATACAGACAATCTGAATAGAGATGTGCTGTGAGTGTAAGTTACACACTAAAAAATGGTAACAATAGCTCATTAACACTTTTTAAATGTTGACTGTCTGGTGAAATAATATTTTGGATATATTGGGTTATATAAAATAAATATTAAAATTAATTCCACTTGTTTCTTTTTACTTAAAAAATATAATTAACTTTTTATATTTGTTTCAAAACACCTTTATTGAAATAAGAATTAATATGTCACACAATTCTCTCATTTACATTGTACACTTTAATGTTGTTTTTATATGTTCACAGGGTTGTGCAATCATTGCTACAATAAATTTAGAACATTTCATCATCCTGAAAGAAGCCTGTTTTCATTACCAGTAGGCAATCGCAAGTCTACTTTTTGTCCCTAAGGATGTACTTATAGATTGTCATTTTATAGAAACGAAATCATACAACATGCAGTCTTCTGTGACTGGCCCAGTTCACTTAGCATAATGTTTTCTTTTTCTTTTTAAAAAAATATGAAATGTTTCACGAATTTGTGTGTCATCTCTGCATAGGAGCCATGCTAATCTTCTCTGTATTATTCCACTTTGGGTTTAACTTTTGATTTTGGAATACTTCTAGGTTTACAGACAAATTGCAGACAGTACAGGGAGCACTTGCAGTGATGTTCAGTTTCCCCTGCTATTAACATCTTACATCAGTATGGTACGTTTGCCACAATTGGTGAACCAATTGTTTACATTGTTACTTACATTCCTATCTTAATTTTTATATCATTGTAGGTATTGATGGAATACATAGTAGCATTTTGATACATGTAATGTATAATGATCAGATCAAGGTGATTAGCATATCCATCCTCTGAAACATCATTTCTTTGTGCTTGGAATATTCAGAATCCCCCCCTTTAGCTATTGGAAACTATATAATATATTACTAACTATAGTTATCATACGAGGGTGTAGAATGCTAGAACTTATTGCTCCCACCTCGCTGTAATGTTGTTTAACAAATCTCATCCTATCCCCGCCTTTCTCCCTATTCTTGCCAGCCTCTAGTATCTTCTGTTCTACTTTTTACTTCTATCAGATCAACTTTATTTTTTTAGCTTCCACATCTGAGTGAGAACATGCGGTGTTTAATTTTCTGTTCCTGTCTTATTTTAAATGTGGCTACTAGACATTTAAAATTGCATATGTGCCTCCCATTATATTTCTGGTGGACAGTGCTGAACTAGAAGTTTACATCCCAAACATCCCAAATAACACTTGCAGTGATATTTAAAGGAACTTTTAGTCATGAGTAAGGTTGAATGCATTAAAGAAAAATATACTAGGAGGAAATATGACAAAAATGTTAACAGTTGTTAATTCTGAACTATGATAGTAGAGATGATTGTTACAATGCTTGTCGTATATTTTTTATTTCTCAAAAAAGAAAAAAAGTCTCCAAAAACTTGAATTATCTCCCACAATTATGGTTGACTAAATAAAATAAGCAGTGTATTGGAATTTATTAAAAACTAGCCATGTAGGTCAGGCATGGTGGCCCATACCTGTAATCCAGCACTTTGAGAGGCCAAGGCGGATAAATCACTTGAGGCCAGGAGTTTGAGATCCACCTCAGCAACATGGTGAAATCCCATCTCTACAAAAATAAATAAATAAATATAACTTGGTGTGGTGGCGTGTGCCTATAGTCCCAGCTAGTTGGGAGTAAGTGGGAGGATTACTGGAGCCCAGTGAGTCAAGGCTGCAGTGAGCCATGATTATGCCACTGTACTCCAGCTTGAGTGACAGAATGAGACCGTGTCTCCAAAAACAAAAGCAAAAAACTAGCCATGTAGCTTTGGTCTCCTAATTTTTCTGTGCCTCACTTTTCTTTTCTCCAAAATGAGTACTTGAAAGGAATCGTCAAGATCTTGCTGGCTCTCAAAGAAACCTAATTTGTTCTTTATCATACCATTTTGGAGGTCTGGCCTAGTAAATAGTAATAAATATTGTAAAAACACTTGTATTTATCAAAAGAAATGTTTCTAGTAGTGGTGATGACATTGGCATATGTTATTACATGTAATTAATCCGAAGATAGTTGTTTTAGGAATTTGGTATAATTTTGAATTAATCACCATGAACATCCTGGGCTTGTTTTAATTATTTTTCTGTTTCTATTGAAACATTTGCCTTCATCACACATCAGGGAACTCAGTACAACAACAGACGTTTATGCAGAATTTGATGATCTATGTTGTTAAGATGTATAACATAGGTGATATTAGTAGTACATGGGAGTAATTATATTTTAGCCCATCAGAACAATGAAAAAGGCCTTCTGTTGACTCTCTATAAAGTATTACAGCATGAATAAACATTTAAAAATATGTTTTAAAACATATATTTACTAAGAAATAAAGCATAAATAGTAATGTAGCCCATTACTAATTTTAAACTTTCAAAATGCAAGTAAATTCTGCTTATATGTAATTTTTTTTTTGAGACCAAGTTTTGCTCTTGTTGCTTAAGCTGGAGTACAGTGGTGTGATCTTGGCTCACTGCCACCTCCGCCTCCTGGGTTCAAGGAATTCTCCTACTTCAGCCTCCCGAGTGGCTGGGATTACAGGCGCATGCCAACATGCCCAGCTAATTTTTTGTATTTTTAGTGGAAAAGGGGTTTCACCATGTTAGCCAGGCTGCTCTCAAACTCCTGACCTCAGATGATCTGCCTTCCTTGGCCTCCCAAAATGCTGGAATTACAGATAGGAGCCACTGAGCCTGGCCGTAATATTTTTATTCAAAATATACCCTTCCCAAAGCTACTAGTCATAGCTACCTGCTTAAACGTGGAAGAGAAAAAGTGACTTATCTTACTTCTGTCGTTTTTTTTTTCTGAATATTTCCAAAAATTATCATCTTCTCATTTTATTTTTTCTTTTCTACATAATGAGTATTTGGTGGCAATGGGTGACTTCAAAGACGTGCAAATGTGAAAGCTAGACAAAAAGAGGAAACTTAGATGAAGTTCACCTAATAGTAATTTTTATCAAAATATATTCAAAGGAGACTTTATCTGGTAAGATAGAGATTCTATACTTTCTGGGCAGATTACACAGAAAATAAAGAATAATCATTTGTTAAGAGTTACAAAATTAATTTATAGTTTTAACAGATTAAAATCAAATTCTATTTTGTAAACATATTTATCAGGAAGAATACACAGAAATGTTTTTCTTATGGATAAACCCATCATAACCAAGCCACCTTTGATAAAATTTAACAGAGTTTACTATTTTCTTTCCAGGCTCAAGTATTATAAAGCAAGAGAAATAAATGATTCCTCCTTTCTGCAAACCTTCTACCCCTTTCTGTAGCTGTTCATTGTTTGTATTTTTCTATCATCTTTAGGTTTCACATTCTGGAACAGCCAGAACTTTAAGACAAGATCTTTTTTTGTTTTGATAAACAAAAGTGCATTCCATTATGTCCTTGGCCACCATAGTAATATTTCTCTGTCATTACTGTTCTCAGTATAGCCTCAAAATTCTTATTAGTGATAACTTTATCAAAGTCACTGTCAGTCTATTTGTGTTGCTATGAAGGAATACCTGAGGCTGGGCAATTTATTAAGAAAAGAGTTTTGTTTATTTGGCTCATAGTTCTGCAGGCTGTACAGGAAGCATGATGCCAGCATCTGCTTTGCTTCTGGTAAGGTCCTCGGGCTGCTTCCATTCGTAGTAGAAAGTGAAGAGGGGCTGGAGTGTGCAGAGATCACATGAAGAGAGAGGAGGCAAGAAAGAGGGGAGAAGACACCACACTCTTTTCAGTAACCAGCTCTAGAGGAACCAATAGTAAGAAACTCACTTATCCCTTTCACCCTGGGAGTGTTAATCTATTCATGAGGAATCTCCTCTCAAAACCCAAATAATTCCCACTAGGCCCCACCTCCAACATTCAGGATCAATTTAAACAATATCTAAATATAACTATATTTTGAAACATAGATTATTAAGCATAATTTTAAGTATACAGCTATATTTAGAAATTACCTGAATGTCCATTAGTTATTTTTTACTTAACATTTGTCTAAGGTTTTAAGTCATCTAACAACCTTAGATATTGTATTCAACCTGATATACTAAAATATGTGTCATATTTAGATCATCACTAAGTATCACTATTAGTGATGATATAAAAATTTTTTCACATTAATTTTCAAATTAATTAAACACGAATTAACATTTTCATAGTCTCTAGTATTATATAGAAGCAACTGTAACTTTTTCTTGATAAATAATCTGTTAAATATTTATAAAGGTCTGATAGACTAGTTTCTTCATGAGACATTAAATCCTAATCTTATAAAATGTACTCTTGTATTCTATGCTGATAAAATTTGGGAATGAATACACAGCTGCATTTGTTTGCTTTTTTAAACCCAAATTATTAAACTAAGGATTATTAAACTGTAATGTATAAACTTGTATTCTATGTACACATATTTTTAAGCCGATGAATTTATGAGAAGATCTTTTTTTCTTGAAAGGCTACCACTTTGAACAATTTTCAAAGTTTAATTTCTGTATTTTCTGAAATTTTCAAAACATTGTCTCTACAGGTCAATGAGAACAGAGTTCCTCAAATTTAAGGTATATTATAATCTAACTTATTAAATCTTTCGGAAGTAGAAAAATATTTAATTCTCAAAAACAGGAGTTAGATGTCTTTCTGAAATATAGACATACCTACATAGAGAGAGCTTACAGTTGTAGTCACAGATCAAAGTAAACATAGAAACAAAAATCCACTGTCCAGATCTCAAAGAATTGTTCTTTTCCGTGGTGGGTACAGAATTCTTTTATTTTTTTAGAGACAGGGTCTCACTCTGCCACCCAGGTTGGAATACAGTGATGCAGTCATAGCACACTGCAGCCTTTACCTCTATGGTTCAAGTTGCCCTCTCACCTCAGCCTTTTAAGTAGCTGGTAGTATACTAGCATGCCAAGCTAAATTTTATGTTTGTTTTTATTGTCATTTGTTTGTTTTTGTTGATTGTTTTCTTTTTGTTGAGATGGGGTCTTGCAATGTTGTCTAGGCTTGTCTCAAACTCTGGGCTCAAGTAGTCCTCCCACCTTGGCCTCCCAAAGTGCTGGGATTACAGGCAGAAGCCACTGAGTTTGGCACAAAATTCTTCATTCATTTAAGCTCATAGACAGACAGAAGACTAACAGGTTGGATTTCATGTTGTTTCTCTTTCCCTTTTTTTTTTTTTTTTTGACAAGTTCTCCCTTTTCTGCCCAGGCTGCTCTCAAACTCCTGGGCTCAAACGATCCTCCTGCCTCAGTCTCCCAAAGTGCTGGGACTGCAGGCATGAGCCACTGCACCCGGCCCTATGTTGTTTCTCATCTAACAGAGATCTACATCATCTGTCCAACACAAATCACCAGATGGCCAGACCATAAAACCAAACTCCCAATCATTACTGCCACCAAATAGTGAATAATTTCTCACTGTGAGTAATCAGGACAAAAGCAAAACCACAAAATTAATAGAAAGTAGAAGGAAAGCCTAGAGAGACAGCAAATTTAAACCTCTGTGACCACTTGGAAGGAACCAAACAAC